TCTCTCTCTCTCTCTCTCTCTCTCTCTCTCTCTCTCTCTCTCTCTCAATATGCATTGGTGTTTGACGGAGTTGGATCCAGTGGAACTGGAGCTACAGACAGTTGTGAGTCACCATGTGGGTGCTGAGAATTGATCCCAGGTCCTCTGGAAGAACAGCCAGTGCTCTGTACCGCTGAGCCATCTCTCCAGACCCCCAGCATGCACTCCTAATGACGGAGGCATCTCTCCAGCCCCAGAAATCACCTTTTCAAGAAGCAATCTGAAGTAAACAAAGCGCATGGTGTGGTGTCTTCTTCGTTCTGATGAAAACCAGACAGATGGAACAAGCCGGAGAAATCTTAGTAACTACTGAATCTGAGTGATGGCACACGGGGGATGTCTGTCTGACATTTTCACGATAAAATATTTTGGTAATAAATACAAGGATTTCATCATGATAGAAAAAAAAACCCTATATGATAGCGACAGTGGTTTGAAAAATAAAACACTCGAGAAGGAGTCAGCTACATAGGTGACCGATCTCTTCTACAAAGGCAGAGACTAGGAAGAGGAAGGGACAGCTGCCCATGAGAGCAAGGGGTGATGGACCACAGCTAGGTGCTGACCTCGCTCTGGGGAGATTCTGACAGGACCTGCTGTCCATTCTAGATGGGCTAGCTCTGCGCTCCACTCCCCACATAGGTGTCCACCTTTGGCACTATTTTCAGCGAGTCTTAGGAGGATACGAGTCTCAGTGAGGCTCGTCTCCACGCCCACCTCAGGTAGTTGGCTCCCAGTCCTTAGACGTCATCAGATGCATTGCTGAGGTCGCTCAGTGTGCCTGAGTGTCTCTGTCTCTGGGGTCAGCTCTTCCATACGATGTTGGACTTTCACTCGTGAAGTTAAAGCCAGCCCCGTAAAGCCAGAAGCCACAGTTCTTGGGACTCGAGTTGTGCTTCCTGGACAGGTATCTTCAGGACAACTAATATCCTCGAACAATCAGGAATCAGACAAGATCAGGCACGTTCGAGGTGAGACGGTCATGGATGATAATTAGAAATCAGATTGTAGCTAATCATTACATTTCCCCCAAGTACCTTTATGGGAGGTTCTAGAGAGCCTATGTCAGCATGCAAATAAAAGCACTCAGAGGCATGAATAAATGTCACACAAATTCATAACCCAGGCTCTACAAATCGCTCCCTAGTACCCTCCCCACCTTCCCCTGTGGACAACCACTTTGCTTCTAAAGACGAGCTAGTTCGTTGCTTAGAACTATGCCTGAGAGCAAATTCTGCTTTGCTTTCCCGGATTAAAATGTGATTATTTGCAGCTGGAGAGATGGCTCGGCGGTTAAAAGAATTGACTGCTCTTCCCAAGAACCCATGCCCAATTCCCAGCACCCACATGGCAGCTCACAACTCTCTGGAAACCCAGTCCTAGGGGATCCAACACTGTCTTCAGGGATCTTTGGACCACTTTGGGAAGCAAGCACTTACAGGGTCACACATGCAGGCCAAGCATCTATTCACACAATATATATATATATAT